AATGTTTAATGTTTTAAGGAACCTGCGTTTGTCTCCGGTTCTTTGGCTTTCTGTGAAGTTTTATGCGAAATGTTTATTGTCTGTTTGACTTTCTTCTGTTCACTAAATGGCGTTGGCTCCTTTAATTTTATTATGCATTTATACATCAACCGTTGTTAATGTTAAATGACACTTCGAGGAAATTGCAAAGCACAGTTAGTTACACTTTATTCTGAAGAGGAGAAGTATTTTTTTAGCAACTGCAACAAATGCATAATTAACCCAAAAAATGCAAAATAACACAATTGGTGTTTCTAATTTTGGAGACATTTATTTAATTAATTTATTGATCACTGAAGTTTTGACATACAGAAAACCATGCATTTTATATTTATTTTGGAGGCATGTGGTACAATGTAAACTTTCTAATTAATTTCATATTGATAACTGAAGTGTTGACCTTCAGAAAACCATAAATTTACTACTCTTGAAATAACTTGAGTTTCTATATTATTTATTTAAAGCTTCATTTCAACGATGAAGCGAATATCAGAGTCGCTCTAATGCAGTCTTTGTGACTCGTATCAGGTTTATTTCACATTTATTCAATTGATTTTTATTGAACTATAATTTACAAATTCCGTGTATTAAGTATGTTTCATACTTTACGAACACCTAGAATTTGGAAGTAAGGATGTGATTTAATAAAATCTTACGACAATCTTACGACAAGAGATATGACTTAAATCTCTTATCGTAAACTTCCATTTTAATACATACAGCATTACATTTGCGTTACTTAATACCATATTAGTTAGCCTTTCCCGAACTGGGACATTTGATAGAGAGTTTCTGCTAACCAATAAGCTACTGGACCAAATTTAAGGATATAATAACTAGATGAACATTACGAAATATCTTTGAAACCATGTTAATATCTTGTTTTGTCGTAATGTATTTCCCTCGTTTTTCATCAAATTTTATTGAATATTTGCAATAGGTAGCCTGACGGGTGTAGTATACAATGTAAGCAGAAATGACTGGTTATCTCCTGGAAGCATATTAACTCACTCCAGTTTTCAGTTGGTTTATATTATCAACCTTTATGTTTTCTAGATATTCAACATTAATGAATCATATGTTGTAATTCATTTGGTGATAGTGTTGTCTGTTATGTTTACTGTCACCAGCTGATTACCGATTTGGTATCCTCAGATTTTTCATAACATAATTCTTACAAGTAATAAATCTTCACAGTCATCAGTTTCGTATTTACATCTTTTTAAATTAAAAAAATTAATTCAATTTTGTTTGAATTTTGTTTGAATTTAATTTAATGTTGTTTAATTTTTTCAATTTTTCAATTTGTTTTTTATTTTAGACATCTCTAGACACACTCGAGCCTTGTTGGTAATCATTATAGGAATATGCAATTTGGAAAGACCAAGGATTTATAGAACAAGGATTTATATACTATATAAATCCTTGGAAAGACTTACATTGATGCGTTTCTACTTGGTTGGCATCCGTGCAATTGGTATTGAAGACAGACAATAAATAAGCAATGAAACTAATACTCTATTTCATATTTTAAATGTTATAGACTAATTACTTATCATCTAAAGGGAGTTCAAGTGGACTTTAACCATGCTTAATGACACAGAATACCTCCACTGAGACCATGATGAATCTAGTTCAACATTAAACTCTCATTAAAAACAAAACTAACAATTTAAAATATTTGCTCAAAATATCCTAATAAAGGAACCATTAATATTGTTTAGACGCCCAGTTTGTATGTTTTCTTTAATCTTTATATATAATAGTTATAAATTTCTTTTTCAATACAAAATTATATTTGAATGTAAATATCATATAATGATATTTGCTTACTACTTAAGATAGACAAGTAGATGTATCGTAGGTGTATACTTGAGACAGTTCGTACATATAGCTAAATTACGTAAAACGCAGCTAGGTAGATTGAAGACAGCTTTAGTGCATCAGAGATTTATGATTTATAAATAACTTTTTTCATAAATTTGGCAAGCTATATGTTTCTGAGTGCTCTGTAAATAACTTATATGATACGTAAGCATAAATGCCAGAAACTCATCAAAGATATCAGGCTTATAGTTTGGTACGCCAGACGCGCGTTTCGTCAACAAAAGACTCATCAATGTCGCTTGAATCAAAAACAACTAGAAAGCCAAATCAAATACGAAGTTTTATAAGCATTAAAAATTGAAAGTTCCGAAGAGTTGTGCCAAAAACGACTTAGGAAATCTATTCCGTAAACCTAAGTGTTTCAAATAATTCAACATTCAACATGCAACCCAAAAGTAAATTCACAGAATATGAACATATCAATGATATTTCATGTCAACACAAAAGTGAAAATAGACAGACAGCCAATTACATACCATATGGTCTTTAGCGATGAACAGGTTTTCTCTAGATTATGTATTACTGACACACAATGATAGTCCTAATTTGTGAAAAAGGAACCGTGTTTTCCGTTTTCCGTACATCTCCATAAGGTCTCCGGTAAGACTGCACTTACAGCAATGTTCGCTGCAAACCAGTGAGAGCCTGGTGAAAGTTTGTTATTTCTAGGAGGGTGTGCTTTGAAATTGTACAATTTGCACGAAAAAAATAATTGGAAGAAAACAATTGATTATTGCATCATATTATTAAAGCTGTTTTTCAGTATTCCAGAAGATAAAGTATTTGTATTTCCATTTGGTGCGGGGGAGGGGTACACGAAGGGAAAGCTACACAATTACAATAAAAAGTACCGTTTCCAAGTATTCGTTTCATCGTTATTTAGTGTTAATTTATTGTTTTTAATAATTTTGTTTGCGCCTGATAATTTCTTTAAGGCATAATATGTTCATATACATACCATCGGCGAGAAAATCATGTAAGTTTATGCAGTGGCGGCGGGACATACTTTTTAATTTTGGGTCAAGATTTTTTTAAAGGCCAAATATTTTGATGAGCCCTTCAATCACAAAAAGGTTTAGGTTAATAGCTAAGTAAATATACACTTGAATGCCATACGATGACCTATAGGGCTGCTAACATAAACGTAATTTGGTCTTAAGATGGTTGTCCCTTTGGCAATCATACCACATCTCCTTTTACATTTCCTCCTTGGAAGTAGTAGGGGTAACACATAGTTTTATTCTTTCGTCTTCAAGCGTAGAAAGGCTAATTTATCCTTTCCAATGATTTCCCGAGATCATTGCTTCGGTACAATATTATTGGAACTTAAACATAAAGAGGGAGTTTTGTTTTTGACGTCAAATTACATCAAAACACGAACCGTGACAGTCAAACATGCAGATCAAAAAGACTGAAATTTTAATTCTGCCATTGTCATAATTTATGATGAAAGCACTAGCCACGTGCTAATGGACTTCCTCGAATTTATGACCTCCAAAATCGATATGCGATAATTTTCAAATAATCAGCATCTATTACAGATTACGGAACAGATTGCTAGTAGAAAAGTGTTGACGTCATACGATATAGGTAAATTTAGTCATTAGTAAATGAAAACATGCGATTAAAACATTTACCAATGTTAATACAAAATACTAGATCGATTTGTTCCATCGGAAGGGAGGAGACTAAAAAGCTGTATAACCGCTCCACTCTTAAAAGTGAGGTCCATCGGGACTTCTAAATGAAACACTCTATCAACGTCCACATATAACATTAACCCATTTGGTAAGACGGCATATAAAAATTTCTCTGTAGCCTATGACCCTGGCTCAGTTCTCGAGCTGTGGTATCAAGGTACACGAAGGCGACACGAAGAAGACGTTTGAACAGGATCCCATGCTATATTTTCTGGTACAGTTCAATACCGCAACACCAAAAAGTAACATTGAATTCCCTAATACCGAACGGGACAAGGACAATAAAGACATGCATTCTCAAGTCTCTAGAATTACATAACACAGTTAGAATATTCAAAAATTATTTTATAATAGAATTTCAATTGTTATCTTTGTTTTGATAAATATCCATGTTTTGGACTTTGTTTCGTCAGGTTTGCAACTCGGCACGGAAACTCATTTACTTTTGAAATGTGTACTTATCATAATGATTACATGAATAGTAATTACAATTTGCTTCAGTGGCTGTTGATTATTATTATGATTATTTGATATAATTACAATATTGAATTGTATTTGTCAACGATTTTCATATATGGCAGTAACTACAAAATCCGGTCCATTAGGGATTATATTAATCTTTCATTAATCTATGTATGTATATAAATGTAAAAACAAATTGCGCTAATGCCCGTTAATGTCTAATTAGAACATAACATAAAAATCATTGAAACCTTGAACCAGTCAATAATTCATTGTTTGACTGAAAATGACAACACTCTATCAACGTCCATATGTAACAGTCACACATTTGGTAATACGGCATATCGACATTCTCTGGTACAGTTCAATACCGAAAAGTAACATTGAATTCCATAATACCGGACGTGACAAGGACAATAAACTCTATTTATGTCAAATGTTTAACCAAATACCTGTGTAAACTCCTTTTCTACTGCATTAATTTGACAATATTTAAAATCAATACTGTCTAATCCATTTCAATCTTTATTTACTGGCATTGTGTACTCGATAGATAATTCCATTCACAATGGGATCAAAATGACACAAAAGGATTCCAGAGTTCTTTACAAGTAGCTTGAAGGATAAAATTTATATAATACTTTCAAAAACATATATTGCTTTTTGAAAAGGATATCAAAGCTTGTGAAAATATTTTGTTTGGGAAATGTAAGTTTTTCACTATCGGATTAATATTAAGGATAGGTTGAAAAAGAATTCCAAAAGTGTTCAGTGTACATATTGTTTGTATATATTGCGTGCAATTACACTATGATTCGCGTCGATATAATATCCCCTCAGCTGAATAAATGTGATATGCTTAATTTACATACTTAACAATATCAAAAGTATTTTCCTATTTCGATTTTTAAATATATAGTATGAATCGAGTGTAATTTAAATTCTGAAGGTTTCATAAATAACGTATATATATACACGTATTGGAAGTTAAGTTCAATTTCAATTAGTTAGTTCAACATACACACGCAAAGCATACAAAATGCCGCCTTTAGGAGAAAAAATGTGGATCACGAACTATATGGATAGTTACAATAAGGACAGGAAGTATTCAAGGAAATTCACTGGATCTTCAAGGTTCAACACGCCAAAGAGAAAACCTATATCAGAACGCTTGGTAAGATAATGCAATTCATTCATATATTTTACATAATACTTTAAGCCTATTTTATTTTCGTACAAGTATTAACTATAGACCATTGTTATTCCAAGCTGTTACTATATACAACTTATATTTAAATTGTAATTAACAGTAAACACTTGAAATACTTAGGACATTCAACTTAATGCCATGCCATATAAAGTATAAACATGTATAACCTAAAACCGTATGGTTGCCTATAATTGCTTACATCCACTTCATCTGAACTTTGATGGATAGTTGTATAATTGGCAATCATGATCAATCATACTACATCTCCTTATTTTCATATGTATAACCTAAAAATAATGGTTAGCAACACGTACCAAACAGCAACACTTCTTCAATTCAGTTGTTTTGTAATAATAGGAACTAATTAAATAATTGAAATATTATGAATAATTTGATTCCGTGCTTGCAGCATATTTTTTAAAAGTCAGTTTAGTTAACAATACCATGAAATATAAAAGTTAACAACACCTTACAAATGCATTCCCCCTTAAATTCAATAACTAAATAATAATAGGATTTTATCAATATTTGACATATCTGAAGATTTCGCTTCAGTGCTTGAATTTTTTTATAAGTTTAAGTTTTAAACTTTGTGTTTGATTTAATTTAAATTGCCTTAATATACCATAGGGCTTCCTATATGCATTAAAAAGCTATACATATTCGTTTAAACCGCCTTTTAGTTGATACCTTTGAAACTGAATGAATTATAACATGGGACATGTTGGAGCTCAACTAAAATAAGTATATCCTAATAATCATGCATTTGTTTGTCCTACCTATAGCTAGTAGCCAAAGCTACGATACTGACATAATTGAAATAACACATTTACCTGTAAATTCCAAGTTCCAAACTTATGTAGTTGCACTAAAACTAGGGTTAGGACTCCTAGGGTTATCTTGATTGTAAACGGTTCTTATTGTTTTATTAAGGTCCGTTTGGCTTTTATGCTTTCAACGTTTAAATTGTATTTTTGGTTACCAAACATTTTGGTCTCGAGTGAGGGCCCGGTTCTTTGATAGAGGATTGCTGCGTTCAAGGAAGCAATTAGACCAGTGTTTTATTGAGAAAATTGAAGTCATTTTCACGAACGTTTCATCATGAGTTGTTTAAGCGTTATGGCATACATTTATAATTATTATTACCGCGGATATGTTCCACTTGTCGTGGCATTTCCTCATTTATGACATCACAAAAGGCGATTCAGATTAATGCCTGATGTTTACTTTAAATGACCAGACCGACGGACGGGTGGCACGGAAACTGCTAACCCTTCCGAAGAATTTGAGATCGTTTCGGGTGTTTGATATTTTTTTTAACTCAATAATGACTGTTATTTGACTATTTGTTTCTTTTTGGTAATGGTGTTGTTTGTCTGTCTTCTGTCTGTGGATTTTGATTACCCTATGGTGTCCATTATTCCCATGTCAGTATGCAGAACACATTATAATTGGTATCTATCTTTCTGTTTCTCTTGTAGATACTGATTATCACATTTTTTTATGGTATAAACATTTACGTATTCAATAGATGTGTCGGTAATTGGTTTTTGTGTTACGAAAATCAAATTTAAATGGCCTTTAATCAATGGGAATATTGACATATAATGTAATGTTAAATTCATCCATCCGGTAAACCATTTATAATAATCTATATCGTTTGAAATGGTTTGGTGGATAAAGTCTTTATGGCAAAATAAAGGTATAATAAAATACACATTAAAGCTAAATTTGCTCATGGAAAAGCCCGAGGTTTCCCAAAGTAGATGGGTTCTATAGATCATTTTAAATAATTAAGATGTGTACCTGCTATATATTTAATTTCATTTGTACACTGCAAAAAAATTGCACTTCAAACAGTTAGCAGTAATATTTAATAGGTATGATTAAAATGATATATTCAGTTTGTCGTGAAAGTATCCATTAATATATTTGAATCGCTTTTCTGGATTAACCTGCACCCCACAAAACCTGAAAGCCATAGATGTATCTATACTTGAGCTATTTGAACAGAAAGGACTTCAAATATAGCAGAATCTACCGAAGGCTAAAACATTACCTGAGGGAGGTGGAACCAAAGTTTCTTAATTATTTATTAATTTGTCAATGGAAAATTTAAGAAAGAAATGTTATAAATCATGTCAGTACCGAAGCACTGACAATTGTGAATAATAATAATAAAAGTAAGGAAATGTGGTATGATTGCCAATGAGACTAATATCCACCAAAATTCAAATGAAGTGGATGTAAGCAATTATAGGCAACTGTACGGCCTCCAACAATGAGAAAAACCCATACCGTATAGTCGGCTATAAAAGGCCCCGACATGAAAAATATGAGACAATTCAATTGAGAAAACTAACGGCCCAGTAATTTATAACAAAACAATGAACGAAAAACAAATGTGATAGACATGAACCAACAACAACCACTGAACTACGGGCTCGTGACTTGGGAAAGGCACATAAAGAATGTGGCGGGGTTAAACATGTTTGTGAGCGCTCAACCCTCCCCTTACCTGGGACAGTGGTGTTACAACACAACACAAAAACAAACTATAAATATCAGTTGAAAGGGCTTAACTCATCAGATCAGAAAAACATCTAAAAAAAACACAGACCGGACGTGGTAGGGTATTTATACATCCCTAACAACAAAATAGACAAGTACAGATCTGAGAGTACTCGCAATTACTGACAGCTAGTTCAAAGCCAATAGCAACTTATAAAAGAAATCATGTATCTAAGACTTTAAGTTATAAATAATACAATCGTGATACAACTATGGTTGAAACTCGCTCAATTCAAGTCGATCCACTATAATAAGAAGATGTATTTGGATTACCAATGAGACAACAGATAATGTTTTGGCGGTCCTGGTTATGTCCTTTTGTACTTATACTCTTTTGAGTTTTTTCAAGGATTATTTGTTCTTAATACCACGTTTATAATTATATCTAGATCGAATCCGATGTTAGTCCTCGATTCCTCTCTATACATCATGCAATTGATATAAAACTCATGATCAAGTTCCCATGGCAATTGAAAGTTGACCTCGATTGGATTTGGCTAGTCCTTTTTTGTTTTAATATTTTCCCTGCATTAAGCTTTCCAAACATTCAGTCTTTTTTTATACCTGATGAAGATTATTCCAGTATTACAATTAGCATTATCATACGCTTATCGTTATCATACGTTTATATATATACTTTTAAAATATGAGTTTAAGTAAGATTCTTATAAATATAAGTAATGTTTACCACGTTAAATGTAACATGTGTGTTATCAATTCAGACACTCGTCATTTAAGAAGACACACGAAGGGGCGTCCAAGAAACTTTTGGATGATAAATCGATTGTTGCTTATTTAACTTTAAATTACAAATATTTCATGTAAAAGTTCAAACATATCAGTATGTTTCCAGTATGTTCTTTTTTTATCGGGCCCGATTAGGTGGTGTTACATCTTACAAAGTCTATCCAGATTATTTTTGCAAAGAATTCCGCTCAAGCCTGTGCTAGGGGTCGTCTTAAACTTGCAGTGAGGAGAGACTTTTTTTTGTGTTTTGCTCCGTGTTGAAGGCCTCACTGTGACTTTGTTATGAAGAACAGCAATAAAAGTGCTGTTCCTTTGCTTTCTGTGTGCGTTTTTTTTTTGCTGTGCATGTACTGATTTTGTGTCATGGATAGATACCCCATATCCTTTGTTTTTCTATCAACATATCAGTTAAGTAGGTCCTGAAATTTAGACTGCAAGTTGCAAAAAGGGTAAAGTTGGACAGAATTTTGCCTTGCAATGGCGAACTCCTTAAAGATCCACTAGATTTCTGACGTGTATAGAACGTGGGTTATTGGAGATAACGTCTATTTCGTCTAGACGTGGCTGTGTATTTATGCATCATGCATATCTAAACAGCCGTTCCTCAACACGCGTGAAAATAAGTTGAAAAACAAAGTTCAACTCGTATGAATTAAGAAAAGATGTACGAACTGAGCAACTTTGAATTTATAGTCAATATATAATTATACTGTATGCGATTATGTTAAAAGTCACTACTAACTTAAGGCTACTACAACAGCTTTTTGTTTTAAGTCATGTATGATTCTAATAAAACGCTGATTGTTTTTATCACCGTATCAAATAATTGCATTGCCTTTTACAAATAATTGTTCTCACAATTAATCCTCTTTTTTATGTATTAAATAAACAACTGAAGCGTGCAGTATAAGAATACATATATACAATTTAATCGAAAATTACATTTGTTTATCAGTTAAAATCAAATAAAACGTAGCATATTAATGTTCTTTCAAAATTAAAATTTAATCCACTTATTTGAAAATTAGAGCAAATACAAAATGTAGTTGAAAATTAATTAAACTTTCTATTGCGATTCATTTTCCTGTTTGTGTTGCGGCTTGTAACTCGTTTAATTCAATTAATTTTACAAAAAGCTATAAAATTAAGCCTCACGCGATTATTCATGTCTTTAAGAATAAATATTAGTTCATTTTACCTTAGGAATAAACAAACATGTACCGAAATTTATAAGAACTTATTTAAGCATGTAATATTAATTTCTCTTTTTCAAACACAATTATCTCAACGTTAAGCTCCTGTATTTGGTGTTTACATTCACGGCTCTTTCAATATGCTAAGTTTCATTCATATCAGTTTATAAATAGGTGTCAACAGATGTCTGTGAATATGGCAATGCAATAGACCAAAAATATATGTATGCTTCAATGATAAAGAAGCAACCATAACATATATATCTCAGTTTTAAATAACGCCGAGACTATAAAAGAGAGGTAAACATGCTTCAATGAGAAAGAAGCAACCATACCATATATATATATATCTGTTTTAAATAACGCCTAGACTACAGTAGACAGGAATACAAAGGTCTACTTTTTGTCTATTTCTTTAAAAAATTGTAATCTTCTCCCTATTTTCTAGGAGCAGTCTATCATTTTTCTTCTCATCCCCGGTCGGCTAACATTGCATAACCTTTCTATTAGAATTTTGGTAACATCGTTGACGGCTTTCAATTGTCAAATTATTATCGTCTTAAATTAACTAGAAATATTTGCTACTGACTAATCAATCAAATCATATTTTTATTTTTTTATTTTTAGTGGAACACAAAAGGTGCGGAGAAAAACGTAAAATATCAGCCGAAGTACATGTTGCCACTTAACTAAATAATATCGGTATATATTACACGCGACAAACAAAAAAAATCTAACAAATAAATTGAAGTTTTCATCTTTTGGTCGCAATTGGTAACTTAATCATTTTTACAGCATAGTATCATTTTTTTGTTTCGAACCCAGATCTTTGGAACTTCACAGAAAGAATTTCAAACCCTTTGAGGTTGTGCATCTTCTATTATGGAGATGTCAAATTTTTTTTCCATCTTCTCAATTAATATTTCCAAGAATTAAAATGTTCGGTATAGACCATTCTCCATTGTTTAAGAAACAATTTACGAAACCCGCCTTTTTTACTCTTTTGATCTTTTTATGAATCTTACAAAGTTTTTTCTCCAGTAAAATTCGTTTTCCAGTTACAATGGACATTTGTTAAAATAAATTATTGCCCGTTCCGTGAAGTTAAATGACATTGAACGTATAATTTTTATAAGTATGGATAAAAAGTAAACAGTATTTTTCTCATTTCAGGAATTTTTAGCACGACCGAAAACACCAGCTCGTCCAAAAACAGCTTCAGTAGTACAAGAGCAAAAGACTTCTTACAACGAAAAAACTAAACCTGTTGTATCATTTGATGAATTTAATAAACAATTTACGAAGCTAAGATTCGATAGTAATGGATACGTTGTTCATCCATATAGCTGTCCTCCAGAAGTCAATATTGCAGTACAAGGAACAAATGTGCAACTATCAGAGAGTAAGTTACATAAATAAACAATTGTTCCAAAAAATACATAAATCTTCAAAATTTACTCAACATAATAATATGTACAAAAATTGAGCTATAATCTACAAAATTGACATAACACGAAATTTTAATAAGAAAAGGATGAGAAATGGTTTAACGACAAGACCTGAGCCCAGAAAATTATTTTACCGCTCAAAAACCTAGGAGTTATCTTGTTGACACATTGGGCTTGTGTATGATGTACAATTTTAATAAAAAAAAAAGCTGCCTTTGCTCGTTATTTCAAGATTACCTAAACGCGAAATGAAAGGCACATTTGATTTATTGACATAATAAATAATACACAATGCACAGGTATGATTTCATTTGATCGAACACTAAAATTTCACTAGGAAACCATAACTGCAATAAAATTCTTTATTTGAAACATTCAAATAAATAGATGGTATATTGAACACCTTTGTTCTTTGTTGCATGTAATGTCAGCGACAATACAATGTTTAATAACCGAGATAAAATTCCCCTCAAGTAAATTTGTTTTGTAAAATTAATGTCAATGTTTTAATTAAAATGGATGATATTAAAATTTAAATAACACCTGCCACACTCTTGTAAACAACTTTTTTGTTATAAAGGAATAAAGATAATTGAAAAAAGTTAGTTTTAAAACAATATGGCGTTTCCTTTGCTCTTGGTTGTCATAACTATAACTGTTTTAAATTAATTGCATGAAGTCTTGTAATATCTTTGAAATAGGTAAACAGAAAGTTGTTTTGACCAAAACGTACAAATAAAACTATAAAGATAAGAAGAATGACAGTAGCTACATAAACATTTTTTCACGTGACAGTTCAAAACAATAGAAACAAAATTGTTATTTTTTATGGCAAAGTAAACCTGACTCCTAAACAAAGAAAAGGAAAATAGTAATTTTCTACAGCAGTTTGATTTTCATAAAAAAAAGAGAAACCAAAGACAAACAAAACATAAAGGTCTTATTGACACCAACACAAGCTAACTGTAAAACTGTATAAATTTGTAGGAGAAAATAAAAACCATTATATGCAACCGATCCTAGATGCAGCTGATAGTCTCCCGAAAACTGACTTAAATCACGAAAAGAAGGAAGAAGAAGAAGAAGAGAAAAAGAATGATGAAGAGGAAGAAAATATAGAAAATGTCGATAAACAAGGTAAGTGATACAATCCGAGTGCTACGCAGCCTACCAACAAGTATATGTCTCTTATCATCAAATTGTAAAGAATCGTTGATCAGGAATTTCTATAACAAACGAGATTTTACACTGTATTAATAAAACTAATGATAACAAAGTAATTAAAAGGTACATTACGTTAGAAATAGTGCATATCATATACCCGATACCTGCAAGCAGAGACCAAAGCACAATTTATACGACATGGCCGTACAACAAAATTAAGTATCTGGTTGATTAAACTATCCGCGGTAGGAACTTGCAATAACATTTACATGCTACTAGTGAATGAAGTCGACTTTTCTTGACCATGAAAGCAAACTGGATGATATTTACTTTTAAGAAAGATAACTCTAACTCTTTATGTATCCCCGGAAGTCTGTACGGCAATAGTAATTTTCAAAAGCATGATGTAAATTCAAGTCGCAAGTTTATTCAACAAATCCAAAGAATTAGCTGTCATCATTTCCAGTTATCAATTCATATTTTATCAAAACAGTTTAATTTTAGAAGACAATTACAAATAACGAGTTGAATATTGTTTGTTCTTTAAAAAAATAAATTGTAAAACACAATAATTTTCATAATTATGAAATTTGATTCAAAATTTGAACAAGGACAGCATTCCTTTATTTTCTATGTATGAAAAGTTTTTGTCATCTTGTGTTCTACTCTCGTAAATCAGAGTTGATTCAAACCTTACAGAAGAAGTAAACATTAACACATGCAAATCAGTTCGTTTTTTAAAAGAAATATAATGATGACGATGATGCACTTTTCGAGTTAATGCTGATTTACACATGGTGTATACACTTGAGCGTTGCTAATGAATATCAACTTATAAAAGGGCTTCAAATTTGTCAAATTTGGTCTCAATTTCTTTGATTGGTGGAAAAGACTGCTGGTGGAATCTTCTTCAATAAATTATCATCCACCTAGTTAGGTGCTATATACGGCATGGGTTATTTCTCATTGTTGAAGGCCGTAGGGGTCCTGTAATTGTTTACTACCACTTCATTATAACTCTAGTGGATATTTGTGTCATTGGCAATCATACCACATCTTCTCTCATTTTAATATCAATTCACACGTTTTGGTAAATATTTTGTTGATAAATTTTGAAATATTACAGAACTAGAGTCCAGGTTATGGCCTTTGATAGTTTAGACTTTTCTTTAAGGTCCTTTCGGGAAAATGTTCTTTTCTAAGTGGCTTTTTTTGTTGTTTACTGATATATCCATTTTGACAATTGTCAAAAATAAGGTTTCATATAAATCTGAAAAAGTTAACTGTCCGTTCTTACCATTCCGTTCTGCACCCCGTTAGTTAATCTCCCGTGTATTTATACATCTGCTTTTGACCCTGAAGTTTCCTCATGAATGTTAATCGAGAGAAGCATAGACGAGCAATTCGATATATTTTAGGTTTTTTTTTTAAACTGCTCTGAACTTAATGTTACTCCAATAGGGGATATATCCACAGATTAGTCAATACATTGATTATTTGTAAACATGTAGTCGGAAAAAATTCTTAGTTGATTAACATTGTAACTTTTACAAAATCTAGTGTTTCTTTTCCTCCCTCATGTAAAGTTGGAGTTGACCATTTTGATCATTCCTATAGTATTCCCTTAACATGATTACAAATAAACAGAATGATGTTAAATTTTTTTTATGGTATGAACTCTCAGTAAGAGTTTCAAGGAAATTCCACCCATTTGAGATTACCTTAGCTGTATTTGGCAAAACCTTTCGGAATTTTGGGTCCTCAATGCTCTTCAACTTTGTTTGGCCTTTTTTACTTTTTTTATTCGAGTGTCACTGGCGAGTCTTTTTTTTAGACGAAAAGCGCGTCTGGACAACACAATTTTAAGCCAGGTATCTACGATGAGTGTATTTATTGTTTAGAAATTTTTGTAGATGAGTGTGACAACCCATATTTCAAAAATGTTTAAGTCCATTTATAGGAATAAGAAAATACAAATATTATTGGGATACTATTGTCAAATAGAAGGTGCATAATGACAGTGTCTTAGACTTTCATGTAAATCACTTTACTCGCTTAGGAGAAGTGTGCAGTCAAGTAGAGTGATGAACACCCAGATTAGAATAAACCTCAACGAACAATAGAGTGTTATAAATAATGTAATGCATTTAAGCAGTTAAAATACCATAGAGGTGCTAAGTAAAGTACATTTTTATCACTTCATCACTAACATAGACGTCCTTGGTAATATATATTAACTATTACCCCCAATACAAGGTTGACCAAGGATGAACTCTTACATAAACCATATTTGTATACATTTATCAGTAGTTGCAATAAATTAAAATATCTGTAAGGTTTGAAGTTATAGACAATAACAAACAAATTAACAACACATGCGATAAACATGGTTTAAATGAAGAATTGAAAAGATTGAATGGTGCAGTATGTATAGTGATATATTCGGATGAACAAACACATTTATGTCTTGTCCTTAATAGAAGATACAGGGACTCAAAAGTAGTCCATTTAAAGGTGTGTATAGAGGCTTGAAAGACAAAATATACCGTAAAAGACAATCTAACATTACATGTAGTTGAGGCTTTCATCCAAATTTGTAATTAAGTTGAGATTTGATAGATTTGGGCTTATCGGAATGCTACATATTTTTTGAAAAGACAAATCTACAGACTCGTTTAGACACATGTGTACTGCTATCGTAAAGTTTGTAATACAGTATGGAAAGCCATTCTACTTTTCTCTGAAGGAATCAGTTGTTATTTCAGTTACCTTTGAAATTCTTTAAGGTAAGAAAAATTGAAAGAATACTGCATTGGAATATATTGGAAATAATTGACTGTAGAACATAAACACATTTATATTATCTGACTTTAAACTATAAAATGGTGATGAAGAAACTCTCCTTTTCACGTGATTCGTACAATAAGCTGATCATATCTTTGAGTGCTATCATTTTAAATTGCAATTTGGTTAAACTCAAGATAACAGGCTGGAGTCACCAGTGTTGCCTTTAGAAAAATAACCTTAAACATCATCAAATCCTGACACTTTCTTTAATAAAAAGTGTTTTTTAACAAGATACCAAGCTGGAGTCACCTCTGTCCGTGACTGCAATGTATCACACACTTCACAGAATTTAAGAAACCTAAACAGCTAAAAAAAAACTGACAAAATGGTGTGGCTGATAAATGAAATGCCTCATTTGTTGTTCATTGTACATCCATTTCTTGTCTTAAATTTCTGTCTAACGTCACGGTACCCAAATTGCACTGAGTACCCAAATTGCACCTATTTAGCAAAAATAGCAGAGGAAATCTTACAAGTTTTCCTAGAGACTAAACAATTTGTATTTTTATGATTTGAAACTATGCACGTCTTTTAACATAGGTAAATATATTTAAATATACACAAAACGTTCACAGTATATATAAACAGATGAAGTGTTCACTGGAAAAAGTAAAATGTACGGAAACGTCGCCGTGCGACGTCCACAAAAAGTCATCATTTAAAAATTAGCAAATAAAATGTGTTACAAGCATTCATTTCTTAAAAAGTGAATAGTAAGCATGGACTAATGTCAAATTGTTCAAAATATTTAAAGAACTAAAACAAAAGATCTGTCATTAGACTTTTAAGGATTGAATATAAGCATGGATGCAATTTGGGTACTCCTCACTACAGAATCATTGATCGTTTGGAGGTCTGTTCAAACCCATTTTTCTATGATTCAATATGGATTCAAAATTAAATTGGTGGAACCATATAGTAAATAATGATACATCTACAAAATAAACACAGAATGGAAACTTTTGTCTAGATCATAAACAAACGTAGGTGAAAAAACTATCAAAATAGGTGCAATTTGGGTACCCTCACGTTAGATTTTTTATCGAAATTTTTTTCGTAAGGATTTAAAAACTTTAAGCCAGTTCTTACACCTTTACGTAAGCAATCTATAAGAATACGATTAGCTTTTATAACACCATAACAATCCTCAAATGCTAGATATAATATTTAATTAAGAAATTGAATTGATAATTAACATCTACTTGTCGTTATATTTTTCAACTGATAGTATAGATAAATTTCCATTCCAATGTAAGAAGAACTCATTCATAAAAGAGAAACTATACATGTTATGGTTATTCTATTCAATTGGTTAACTCCTTATGCAGTCAGTGAAATTAAAAGGTCGACCTATGTTCCAAATTTTCATCAATGCGCCATCACCATGAATAAAATATTAGTTTGATATATAACGTCTGTCTCAATTCCTGCGCATCATGTCTCAATTCCTGCGCAGCGTTTGCACAAATGTGTGTGTCAGAATTTCAACACAAATTTGGCAACTAGAAATGAAATTAACCGGTCGACGGGGTAGAGGTCAAAACTTAAGGCGAACAATAAAGAACTTGGTTACGGGTTACTCCGTCATAAAAAAAAGTTATCGGCTGCTCTACACTACTCTCGCATCGATATAATGGCAACGGTATTTATATCTCTTTTGAGTATGCTTAAAAAAGCATTTGTTTTCTGGTGATATAATCTCTTATTAGCGGACCTAGAAAGGGTGGGATCTGCTGGGGTTGAAACTAACTTTTTATGGATTTATTTTATAGACTACGTAAAAACGAGTGGGAGAAAAGTAGCTTAGTATTCCCTAGAACACCCATTTTAAAATGCCTGCTATTGATATTAGTAAGCTGGTTATAAAATTTTCATTCGTTGTATTCTATTTCATTTCCTCGATTTAACTATGAGTATACAAGAACACAATGACATAGTTTTTGTGTATGTCAGAATAGAATAATTTAGTAAATGCTTTCGCATTTGTAAAGAAAAATCATACTAATAATCCATTTTCATATAGTTATTGGGTCGAAGTATTTGTATGTATTAATATTTTATGACTGCAATATGTTTAAATTTGATCATAGTCTTGGGTAAATTCCGTCAATTTGAGTGATAAGTAT